TACTTAAAAATCTGATTAACAAACTGCACGACATACCTTACGGGTGTTTAAATTTTCAATAACCACTCTAGGTTCTTCTTCACTTGCTTTAACTGTTTTCTGGGTATCTCCCGCGATCTTTTTTTCGTTAAATAAAAAATAACCTTAGCTTCAAACTTAAAATATTTTTTTCATTTTATAAAAAAGCAGATAATTTACTTCAGAATGAGTAACAATCTTCTTGATGATTCCTTCGGTAAGTTGCATGCCACCACCAACAGGATGATATCTAACTTTTTGTCCAGGATGAAGATCTTCCTTTTTCACGGTTGTAGCAACTTTTTCACCGGATTTTTGGATCGGCATTTTTCGTTTTTATAATAGATGAGAAAAAATTTAAACTTTTATTTGTAAAGATGAATAAGATATCAGGATATCAAGAAACTTATTTTTTTCGAAGGTGAGAGTTTTTTGACGCTCGTAAGTTGGTGGGTATTTATTAAAATCGGAAATGAAGAGATACATAATAACGACGAAATTGTAAAATCTGGAATGATGTAAATGAAACGACATTATTTCATTAATTAGTGGTTAACTAAGCAATAAATTTCGTACCGCATCAGTATAACCACTATATTATTAATTATGACGATATAAAATGTAATTTATTACGCATAGATGTCAGCATCCAAAATTAAAACATCCAAAATTAAAACTACTACTTCTTATCATATGCCATTATAACGATTACATAACGATCATTATAAACACATGATTTTTAATTCGATCTATCGCTATTGTGATAGAGTATTGTAATAGAGTATGTAATAATGATGCAAAAAAAATTTTTTTAAAGGCTCAAATAACAGACAAAAAAAATTATTGAGGCTGTGCAAGATTGTTAAAATATTTTAAAAAAATAATTTCATCATTCAATATAAAATGATATAATCGATAATTACGCTTGTTATTATTATTATTATTATTATAGATTTTTATATTAAAAAATAGGGGAATTTACATATAAGGGCCCAAAAAATGAAAATAATCACAAATTGGGGCCCAAACTAAAAGTAATTACATATAAGGGCCCAATTTTATTTTAAAACTTATTACGAGTAGAAGCCAAAGCATAAATAAATTTGACTAATGCATTAAGTATGTTTAATATGTAATC